CGTATATCTGACTTTACGTATATGTTTTACGTATTAGGGAAGTGGTTGCTGCGTTAGATTGCCAATTTAAAGACCTCTGGGCGCGTGAGTTCGAATCGCGGACCATATGTATTTTTTTAAGTCCAAATCGTTGGTATATATATATACATGTACTTACACACCAACATATATAATATGATAAATATGATATATATGATATATATATATATATATATATATATATATGTATATATATGTTTATATATATATATATATAGCGATAAGTAGTGCCACAGCACCAACACTCCACAACCAATGTCGCACTATCTTACCCACTAGATGTGCAACATAGCCTGAACACACCTACGCGAACAAAGTACAAAAACATGGACAGTCAGATACACAAGGTTACATCATCACATGCATACACGCTCATACTTGTAGACCTATAGCGTAGATATCAGCATCCTTGTTCTCGTATGTGTTGAGCCAATCCGTTAAGTCGTCCTGCGGCAGTTTCTCACATACATTCCATGTGCCACACACCACTTTGATTGGCTTGGTTACGGTATACTCGTCGATTCTGCCTGGTACAAATGACATACAGAAATGTGAGCATGAGCTGTTTCTATGTTTTGGTTTTTCGGGGTTTTTCTCTGTGGGGGGGATTTTTGTGGGGGAGGGGTTGATTCGTTGTTCTCGTGCGCACTGGTATCAGACTTGCATAACATATCCTTCAAAACAAGATACTTCAGTCATAGACCTCACAGAGTGTGGTTGATCCAATCACGCTCTATCACTCCCACACAACCACGTGGTCGCGTAATCCATTTTAGTACGAAACAACCATATCATTAAACAACAAGAATAACAATACATCCCATACCACCCCACAGGGCACCTCCACAGACCCCACTCATCCCATATCATTAAACAACAAGAATAACAATATATCCCATACCACCCCACAGGGCGCCTTCACAGACCCCACTCATATACCTCGTACGAAACAACCATATCATTAAACAACGCGAATAACAATACATCCCATACCACCCCACAGGGCACCTCCACAGACCCCACTCATATACCTCGCAGCGTCTGGTTGATCCAATCATGCTCTATCATTGCATCGGGTGTGAGTCCTGAGGCTGCCATGCCCACCCCAGAGGCAGACCAACTGTCTTCGTATGTCTCGAAGGCATCCATGTCATTCTCTGTGCACGTGTACAGGCTCGTTAGCTTGAGAAGTGAAGTGTGTGTGCAGTGGATGGGGCTGAATGGGTAAAAGGTAGGTATATATGATATATATATATATAGGTACATAGAATATACCGATACATAGGTATATAGAATATTTAAACGCAGAAGTAATTATACTATACCGATAAATAGGTATATAGAGTACACCTTTACCTATAATTGTATATGTAGACATACACCGACACACTTTGACAAACTGCACCCGTAGGCTGGGTATCTGAGGCATCCATACCATCGTCTGTGCGCGTACTGGTGTCGAATAGATATGCGCTGTGTGGGGTTGACCCCGATTGTGCTAAACGAACAGGACAAAACACATGCGCACGCGTGTACATGCAAAGACATACACCTACACGCGTAGTCTAATGTTGCTGTATGTGTCTGAGCACATGCGCACGCATCCAGGAAAAGATATACATCCACGCACATGCAAAGACATACACCTACATATATATCTACACATATATCTACACATATATATACACATGTATCTACCCATGTATCTACACATATGTCTACACATATAACTACACATATATATACACATATATCTACATATGTATCTACACATATATCTACACATGTATCTACACATGTATCTACACATATATCTACACATGTACCTACACATGTATCTACACATGTATCTACACATATATCTACACATATATCTACACATAGATCTACACATATCTACACATATATCTACACATGTATCTACACATGTATCTACATATGTATCCACATATGTATCTACACATATATCTACAATTTAGTGTCTATATACCAAAAATCACAATTGGCATTTTTGCCAATTCGACATTTCCCAAAATTCGGCATTTCCATTTCCATTTACGTGCATGTCCATGAGGTCATCTCGACCAAGAACACAGGCTTTCATCCAAGTAGCTCTACACTCGGATATATGCGCCAGAGGACTACCAGGCACCTGTAGCACACGCACACACCCACACGTGAACAAGGCACGCATGCACTCCGCATAACTACACCCAGACGCACTCCACACGCCCCTTCACTATATCCAGATGTGCAAGTGTACGTGCACACACATCTGCAAACACACCAATGCATAGAACTACGTACCAGTGCGAGATGGGGATATGCTTGTACGGAGATGGACGTATCCACATGCGCACATACACATCCCTTGGGCTGTGGTGTGGACGTCACATACCGTCGTCGTCGGGTTCGGTGGGTTTTGCGTCGTACTCTCTTAGCCACAGATGCGACATACCGCCCTTCTGATACCCGCACATCTCTGTATCACAAGTGTGTGTGCGTGGATGAGATAGGGTGGTGGCTGGGGTGTATATATAACCTGCACGCATGTAACACGCAGCATCCGACAGCTGGCGTGTAGCTACACATTCAAATAAGCGTTTTATCGAACGGCAGAGATAATGGAATGACATGCAAGGCAACGGGGGGGGGCATATTTTTACAGATGAGCTGAGTATGACTCACTAGTGGCAAGGAAGTACTCCCGACTCAGAATCAGCCCCATAATCCCGCAGCAGTTCCGTCTATCACACCAACCAAATACATGCACACACCCACACATGCCCACATATACACATGCACACCCACACACATACACACATACACACACGCACACATGCACACACTTCCATATCACTTCCACACACAGCTGCACGTCTCTATAACTCAATCACCCTACACCTCTACACCACTTGCGCCACACAACTGCACAGACACACCACTCACCCGCATTCTCGCGCGCTATCTCTATCAGCCGCTCAAACGACGACAGGTTACTCTCATCACGCACCAACACAGCCACCATCCCCCCCTCCGCCAAGGGGATGGCGATGCGGCCTGATCTCTGGCCCAGCTTCTCCGTTTGAGTGAGTAGGTTGAAGTCGCGTAGTACGGGTATGGTGAACCGTAGTTTGGGCTTACGGGTGCGATGCCAATCGAATACATAGACCCTGTATGCGTGGGTTTAGGGTTTAGCCAAAACTCTGGTATAGGCCCCTGGACCTTAGTAGACGTACGCTTGTATGCGTTTCTGCACCCACCGCATGCGCGGGTTGGCTCACATGGCTGTAGTTCGGAGGGATGTCTTGCACCAAAGTGCACTGAAAGAGGTCTTGGGTGGGCGAGTGCGTACCTGAGCTTTATACAGACCACACAACACTCTAGATATACCTCAAGACGTACATGAACAGAGACGCAGACGATACTGTTCGGGCTCCCGAGAAAAACCCCGTAGAATCTGAACGGCAATAAACTTGGTTTACAAGCATAGAGTTGCACATATATATAATATCAAACTGGATAGTGTTTGGGGGTGTCTAGTTGAGAAGCACTAGCATTGTCAGCTCAGGCGTACTGCTGAGCTCCTTGCTTGGTTCATACACCTACGGCGACATAGAGAAGCCTCTTGGATATGATATGACATGAGATGTAGAGAAACGGCCCACTTTGCACGCTATAGGAAGAGGTGACTGCGGGTATGTTTGCACTCAGGCAAACGTGCAGGAATGAGACTTACACATGAAAATGGGTGAATAAAATAGTAACATATGTACTTAGATGTGCGCGTACATTGGTTATCACGAGTGAAAATATCTACCTATGTATATATAGCGAAGAAATATGCATAGACATATTGTACTGCACAAACATATCACACAGTTTATATCTACAGCCAAAGCAAAGAAATCAACATGGGGAATCCTACATATCAAAGTGTACATATACCTTCAATAATGTGCACTCCACGCAACTATAATCACAAGTCAC